GGGTTTAAAGTAGCGCAAGAGCGCGTCCTGCTTTTTTTCACGTCGTCCCCTCCCGCCCGCCTCGCCCTGCCGCGTTCCCACTCTAGTAATACGGGAGAACGGTACCTTTAATTTTTCCTACGGTCGCTTTCCCCGCGAGATTTACCGTCGTCTCTGCCGCGAGCTCGTGCCTTGAGAAAGTCGATACGGCTAAGCGCGACCGTCGTCTCCGTCGGCTTCGTCTTCGTCTTCTTCTTCTTCTTCTTCTTCTTCTTCTTCTTCTTCGTCGTCGTCTTCGTTGTCATCATTTTCAACCGTAAAGCATCGCGCGTACGCGATGCACGCTTAAGGATCCGAAAATATCTTTTGACAGGGCGTTTCTGAACTTTCCGCAGCCACAGTGTTTTATACGACGCAACGATTCTAATTCTAAATATATCTCCGAACGCGGGGAGCGATCTATGTAAATCGACAATGTCTAAGGGGCGTTTACGCTGTTATTCCTCTAAATCGAGGAATAAGTCATCGAATTCCCGTTGCTTAGAATCGATCTGAAAGTTAGCCTGCGTTCGCAGAATGCAACGTTGCGCAACACGCCGCAACTTGCTGCACTTTAGCCGGCTTCCATAGCTCGAACACTTGAAAACTTTGTCAATAAATGTTTTAATTCAATTAATAATAATGTGCGTGAGGTGCACGCTATTGCTGCAACGAGAATAGCAGTAATGATAATGATATAAAATGTGCTGTAACAGGTGACGGTTTTTTGCGCTCAGTTTTTCTAATAATCCAACATTATGAGAATTTGAACTCTCGGGTTTTTTCATCGCTCCTCGTGTCGTTGCTTGTCCGTTTCGTTCAGTCGCTCGGCCAGATATTGCTACGCGAGATGAGTGACGGTATGGGAAATCGTGACTGTAGTCTAACGCGACGGCGAGTTAAAGAGGGAAAATTCACGACGGGAGGAGTCGACGCCGACGGTTTTCATTGTGTATCAGGTAAGGGAAGTTGGCGCGCGTTGATACAGAATCATACAGACTCGCCTCTACTTTCGCCGTTGCGATGTCCGCGCGCGCGTGCGCTCTACAATCTATACCGGCCGGAAAAAGAGTAGTCGGGCGAAAGTGTACATACGCGCACGTAGCAAAGAGATGCGAGAAGAGCGTGCGAGAGATCTCGCCGCCGCGCCGAGGGGGAGGGCAAAAGCGGGCGAGCAAGCATGGCCTGCATGGCTCTCGCTTACGAAATCCACCAACGCGCTCGCGCTCGCGCTCCGCTTCGCCGAAAAGTCAAGGCTCCTGTCAAGGATGTACCGCGGAACTTGCGAACGGTGTCGGAATGCTCGAGATACGTTTCCCGTCGAGCTGTCGATTTCCGCGAGACGTGATCTCCGAGGAGCGCGGTTCGACGATATATAGGTCATGCTCTTTTTTTATTTCCTCTCTTCAATTCTTTAATCAATCTGGTATAAATACCCAGGCACGATGCATTCACTCGCGAAAGACGAACGGTTATAAGCGTAGGCAGAAACGCTTCGATACTTCCTCAAGTCGATCGATATCTTGTTTATACCGAGTATTTTTAACGTCGATACTTGACGACTTATTTTTATCGGGGAGTAAACCCGAGGTACATATCTCCCCGACGAAGGGAAGAAACTTTGAAACTTTGCTAACGTTTCTGGTAAAGTCCGCATGCGCGCGATTTACAGACACGAATCGTGAGATTCTCACAACGGGGTGAGAGATGGGTCACCCCCTCCCCCGTCAGGCGAGTCGAGGGTAACGCGCGGCCGGCGGTAACCGTTTCTACCTTCGACATCGTCGTCATCGTTATTGTACGAAATGAGCTCTTTCTCTCTTTCTCCGCGCGGCACTGCCGCGAAATGGAACTCGCATGCGTGTGGCGAGTTGTTTGTGCAGAGCGCGCATAGGGAGGAGAGCCGCGCGCTTTGCGGAGTACTCCTCGCCGGGTTCTCGGGCTCGAGGACGGTCGTGGCGAGGGGTTGGGAGAGCAGAAGGGAAGAGCGCACGGTCGCGATCAGAGTGGGGTGAAAGAGATGCGAGACGCTGCGCATCGGCGGTGAATGGGTGAAGCTAGATGCGAGGGCGGGAGTGGGTACGGTGGCTGCGAGCGTCAGGGTCGGGGGAAGGGGGATTGACGGGTGGACCAGAGGGAGAGACGCAAGACGTGGCGAGGGATCGGAAGAGATATCACGACTCTATGATGTAAGGGGACAAGGGGTGTGCTTATACGCGTGTTTACGTTAGCCGGCCAATAAGATGTCCTCCAGTCTGGCTGCGTCATTGCGAAAGAGTCTTTGCGCTCGGCTGTGTGCGCACTCGACACACACACACACACATACACACACATTCATACACCTAGCGCACCACTTATGTGGGAAACGCGTATTATTGAAGTACACTTCGTCTTCTCGATACCTCGCTCGTCTTCGATACCGAGTATTCTTAGCGATCGTACTTTACCTTCGATCGTGGTAAAATAAATGGTCGGTGGAAACACACACACACACACACTCACAAATTTATTTTAGCTATTTATATCGTGTCTTTGATATTATCTATATATGGGTACTTGGAAGATAGTATCGAATAGAGAAAGTGCACAGATGACTCTATGTGTTATATATAAGCAACACGCAAAATTAATTTGCTTTCTAATATGAGAGTTTTTATCGATTCCCTAACGAACATTCCTAAATATTACACGTAAATTATCAACGAGAAAGTAACATTGCTGCTTCGCTATATACTTGCGCTACCCTTTAAATCGAAATATTGCCTGCGTAGACGCGACGTTCTCGCGAAAACATCGCGAAAGTGTCGCGGAGTTGCGCGAGAGCCCGAATTCTTGCGTCATATTGTTCTTTGCCTGCCACCTGAATAAGTTGGCGCGGCAAGTATCGCGCGATCACACGTTGCGTTCGCAACGATGACGGCGAACCAGCGAAGGTGGTGGGAGAGTTTGTCGCGTAAGGTACCCTAAAGGAAACATCCTCAAGGTGGACGACCATTAGTGTGTACTATGCGCGATGACTCAGCTTCTACCGCGCGCGAGAGCCGTAATGACACGTTGCGTGCGATTAGATCTTGAGAAAACTTTCGATCGCGCGTACGCTCGCGATTTTAACAATTAACGCTATCGAGAGATCGTCTGTTCCTCAGCATCGTACGCACAACTCGCGCTTGTGTTGTTCGCGCGATGAGATCTCTCGACTAATTTCCAGCCGCAAAATTTTTCATTGGTAAACATTGTTGCGAATTTTTTTGGAAACTGAAAATATTGTATAAAGTCCCGTTATAACTTTTAACGCTATTGATTGAGACAAATAAAGCGAATAATAGCGATTGTTATTTCGAGTTTGAACAAAAATACTGAATTTTGATAATTTAATTTTTTTTGAACGCGATAGTTTTTTTTTAACTTTCAAGGCAAGGTTATCATGTTTGGACGAACATTTCAAAATAGTTTCGACGACCGTAGTCGACAGTGCTGTTGTTTTGCGTCGTATAACGAAAGGATCGATCGCGAGGGAGCTAGGCTGTCCTGCACAGCTGATATTTGCCATTTTTGCTATTGTCGCGTATTCTACCCGGTAAATCGACCGAGGTCCCTTCGACACAGCACCGGCAGCACAATTCGCAAACGCGTGTCAGATGCTTTCTCCCGCAGTATTTCCCACTGTGCGAGGAACGATCGATCGCCCCCATTGCGTGCTTGGTACACGTATCCCGACCGTACGTGCCGTATCTCCGTCGGCTGCTGCGGATTTCCTGCGAAATTTATTACATTTCTTTACGTCGGACGGAACGAACGGTGCGCGCTGATCGTCCGAGGTTTGAAAATTTTTGTTTATCGTAAAGGTGATTCGCGCTTCTCCACGCGAGAAATTCTAAATGGTCACTCTTAACGATGTTATTAACTTCATTATGAGAGCTTCTCACGGAAGCTTTCCATTTTCCAAAATTACTTGAAACGTTGAGTATGATCTAGGAAACTTGCAGAACGTATATTGAAGAGATATATAAAAATAAGATATACACACAAAATTCTTGGAAATTATGCCAAGTATTATCGACGTTTGAATACTATTACAATATATTTCGATACGTGCATCATCACTGCTATCAACTTGTTCTATACGTACTTTACGTTATAATCCTAATCCTATACATTACAGTTGATGGTTGAATTTATAAACCGCGCATGGCGGGTCAATAACCGGCTATTATCGAAACACTTATCCTAAACTTGACGCAACGGTAATTTCTTTCTACCGTCTGGTATTTTCAGTCCTCTATCAACCTCACGGATAATGAGTGTGTAATGACGCGACGTACTAAATCGATGCTAACAACGCGCGTCTTTGTTTTTTTCACTACACCGGTTCGATCATTCATTTGCGTGTTAATTCAGCCTCATTTATAGTTAGCATGTATATGCATGGAAATACACGGAACGTAATTGCCGTCGATTACGCGGAAAATAGAGAGACCGAAACGTAGAATATTCTGTGAATTTACAAGTGTTTCGTTATTGCGTGACCGCGCGCCTATCGTGCTCATCGCCGAGTCTGTAACGTAATTAGTTTCAACCAGTATTCGAGAAAAGAAAGCGGTGTGATCGAATTGTCAATAGACGTTCTAATACTTCCCGTGATTGACCAAAGCAAATTAATCTTAAATTTTCCATGTCAATCGTCGGAACGCCATGACGCATTACTTTTTATTTTCAAGCAATTTATTTTAATTTTCTCTTATTCACGCTCTACGACTAATTCGAATCTATGACTGCCTTTCCGCGGAATGATTTCAGCAAAAGGATATTTCGAGGATTATGAAATCGGAGTAATTTCACGGATTTCTGGAATACAAATTTAAATTGAAATACACTGAGATATTATATCGATTTCAATTTCTGGAATAATTAATCCGTTAATCGTTAGTCGATCGGCATCGTTGAAACGTATCTTAACGAGAGATATACCTTGTGTTTTACAGAAGGAGCGCTTTGGTTGCCGTTGCCGTCGGAAGAGGAGGATTCTCCGGGCATCTGGGGTCGACACTCGACGTCTCGGATGGGAACGAGGGCGAGAAGAAGCGAACGAGGAGGCGGCGGCCCGCGAAGGGTATCGGACAAGTTGCGTCTGGCCGCGTAAAAGGCGAAGGAAGGTGGAGGGGCTGAGGCACCATTATTCGTCGTGATCTTGTCGGACGAGATCGCGAGAGAGCGTTTTCCTTCTCGGGCTTTTCTCCGACCCTTCCGCGAATGTTTTTCGGGGTTTTCCAGTCTCTCTCTCTTTCTCTTTCCCTTCCCTCTCGTTTGTGTATGTATAAGTATAAAATAACTCGATCCGAGCAAGTACCGAACATATCGCAATGCAAAATATCGTAAAACGTCGTCTTAAAATGAAACATTTGAGAGACTTATCCTTGTAATTGGAACGACGTGATCAAAATTACTATCGTCGCGGGAAACATACAAATCGACAATCTTATTTAACTTATCTGCGATGCGATTGACGCAAAGTTCGTTACTCATAATTTTCTATTGATTAACAAACGTAAGGTTTTACCAGAGTCTCAGTATTTTCTTAACGTCATATTAAATTATCGATCCAATTGTAATTGCGGATGCGCTCGTTTCCTTATTGAAAAGTCACAATCAATGATTATATAAGTCTTATATATGTCCATTAATCATGATTGCAAATTACTTAATTGTTAATACGCGATTGTTCGGTAAATCTACCGGTCGTTAATCCGGCTGCACTCGAATTTCGTCGGAGGGACGGGCGACGCGACGCGACGTGACCGTCAACGACGGCGATGAAAACGGAGGTGACGACGGTAGCGCGATTCCCGCCGTGGGAACGATAACGAGGTCCGCGCGGCGGCAACGGGGAACGATATTAATAACGGTGATGACGAGTCGCAGGTGGAATACGGAGCGCGCGGGTCAATGAGGAAATTCTCGGGCGCACGAGGTGCGCCTACCTTCCGAGCGCCAGCGGGGTAACAAGGTGGGGCGAGTGATAGAGCGGGAGAGAAAGAGAGAGCGCGTGGGGATAACCGAGAGTGGGACGGAGCGGGACGAAGCATACCGGAGCGGAAACAAACGACGCGCGACGGGCAACAAAACACTGTGTGGCGCGAGGCACGCGGGTCGCGGGTCGGGGTCGGAGAAACATGCGGATCTTTGTGCGAACAGCTGAACCGGAAGTCGGAGCACTGCGCTTCAGTCTAATCGCTCGACGCCGTCGCCGCCGATAGGGTCAGTCGGTTAAAACGGCTGCTCGAGGCTTGAGGCTCGAGGGCGACGGCGGCGGCGTGTCTCTCGCGCGTAAACAATGTTCAGGCCGACCGAAACGGAAAGATCGGAAATACGCGATACAACGTAAAACCGACTATCAGTTTGGAGCTTAAATATGTTGTTGAACTTATATTATAATCTTCACAGCGATTTAATTTCGATAGGGTCACAATCCAGCGACATTTGTTCGAGAAAACGTGGGACATTTGCAATTACAGACATCCGTTTGAATATTTTTTAAGTCAGATCGCTGAAATTAATGTAAATGGTCGAATCCAGACTAAAAACCTGTCACGTTTCACGTTAGAGAGCGAGGATGTCATTTCTCGAGACGCGTATACATCGGCATGTACTTTGGTATTAATAACGCGCGCGGAATCGTATATACGTTTTCAATTCGCGGCGGAACACGTGTCGCGCGTGTCTTCTACATCTACACTTACGCGTACGGTCGTACGACGACGCGTATACGCGCACCGACTGTCGGTCGGTGCAACGCTCTTCGATTAAACAACGGCGTGTCGCGGTTACTTGGTCCGTTTCACCCGTAAAACGAAGCCGACGATAAACGGTGGCGCGATTCGAAATACTCGGGATTGCGTAACCGAGGTGTACTAACCTAGGAAACCTTTCGTAATTAGAATTGTCTGGCATCTGTGGCCGGCATCCAAATTTACCTTCTCAACTCGCAAACTTATTTAGGTAAAAATAAACGTGACATAATAACATAAACAACGAACGATATAAATGCACATCACGCACGAATAAGTAAATAACCTTGTAAGTGAGTGTATCTTGAAATGCTCGAGCCAGATGCCCCGAAATATCAAATATCTCTGCGGACAGGCGAATAAACGGGAAGAGATATCTCCGCGCATTTCCAATCGGAATCGCACTCGCGACTCGCGATAGTTCCTCCCCTGATGCGTAAAGCCGCACATTTCCGCGAGCGCGGGCGCGTGCGTTCTTCCCGCGCGTCGTGCAGCGACGTTGATCTCTCGTCGTCTACGTTCTCCTACGGTCTACGCAGCGAAAACGATTAACTCGAAGTTTCCCATGACCCCGTCCTTCCCATCGCAGAGATCGCAGCGGAAGCGGCGACACGAAGAGAAGGCGGCGCAAGAAGAGGAGGAAGAGAGACGTGAGTTTCGGCGATTCTACGGGCAGGGTTTACGCGGGTGTGCGGGTGCCGCGTGACCGTGCACGTGGACGCGTGCGACAGTTGCAGTGGTGAGACAGTGCGCGGTGCAGTGCGACAGGGCAGAAAGGGGAAGAGGAAGAAGGAGAAGAAGAGGAAGACGGCGTAACGAGCACCCCTCGGTGTATAGGAAACGCACGTACGGCGTGCGCTCGAGGAAACGATAGGGGGGGAGGAGGGGGAAGTGCGACGGGAGGTGAAGACAAGAGATAGGGAGGAAGCAAGACGACTTTTTTCTCCGCGAGCGAGCGCGCGCGCGCACGCTCGGTGACGCCAAGTATGCTGTGGGGTGACGTCGCGGCGTCGCGGATTTCACGGATCGATCGGCCGATCGAATTTTCTAAATAGGATACGCGCCGCCCCGCGTGTGTGTTGGTGTACCATATGTGTACGGGCGCGCGCGTGTGCGTCGTAACTGCTGCACGGAAGAAGAATCGTCGCCGTCGACGTCGTCCACGCCCGGCCGAGTCGGGCCGGTGCAGGTGAATCGACGCGCCGCGCCGCGCCGGTGGATCGACCGCCGCCCGCCGCGGGAAAACTTGAGATCCGGTTCGCTTTCCACGGCTGACGTCATTACCGGTGAGTCATTCTTTTCTTCTTTCTTTCGTCTGTCCTCCGTTTTTCTTCCCTCTTTCTTTTCCTTCGCCGGCTTGTGCGTCGATAGCTGGCGTGACCGAAACGCGGCTAATCCATAACAGTTCGAAAACAGGTCGGCGAGTTTTACGTTCTTTCGTCTAATCGAGCCAAACATGGGCGACCGAAGGAAAATACCCAAGTTCCACGGTCGCGGAAAGAAGGGGATAGGGCGGGGAGCGTGGATCACGTTTGTAATCCTTGACAAAATCCTTTCGCCGAAGTTCCATTTCTTATTCTCGCATTGTTATGCAAGATCGATGGGCATAAACTTCCCCACTTTCAGGTTCAGGTTTGGTTGAACTTTGGAATTTCGGTGATTTCGGAGTTTAAGTTGAATCCCCGCCTAAAGTACCAGTCGTGAAAAGTAACGTCGTGGATTTGGGACGCGCCGTAGGCGGCAGAAAAGTTATTCGTAAGACGGTAAAAATTCGTCTTATCGCGCAACACCGTACAGTATACGTCGCCGTTGTCGCTGTGAGTCACGTGAGAGGAAAATTATTTTCGATTCGCGGCTACCGACCCGTGGCAGGCACGAACTTGCTTTTTAATTGAGCCTCGATAAGAAATGAAGACGTAACGTAACGTAACGCAACGCTACTGATCCTTCGCGTCCTCGTCTTCGGATCCCGCTAAAAAAACGCACAAAACGCAAACATGGGATGCGAAATTAACCGTTGATCGTTACCCCCGCGTTTCTCGAGGACCATCGGCCTGTCGTGGCATTAATTACCGCAACGCCGCGTCGGCCGCGGCGGCCGGGGGCGTAGCGTGCGCGGGATACACGCGTGACGTGTACGCGTCAGCGAGAAAGTTCGCAATTACCGTAATTTAGCCGCAGCTTGCGGGCGCGCTCGCGCGCGTTCTAGCGTATGAAAATGCCGAAGGACGAACGTATTCGTGAGCTTGGGAAAGACGCGCCGTTAATAACGTCATTCTTCTCCTAGCGCACAGGCATTTCGTATACTTGCTCTAACGATATTTGCCGGTATGTCTTGCTTATTAAAGTACGCGGCCTCGAATGGCCGCGGTGTCAGGTGTCAGGTTAATGGGACGCCATACTTTCCGATTATCCGGAAAGTCGTGCTAATCCACCGCGAGCTATATTTTTCAATGATTCGAGGCACCGACGAGCGTCGCTGACGTGAGAGTACGAGACATCGCCACTGAATTACGGGGATGAAAGCTTATCGCGCTTTATGTCGTGAAACCCTATCTAATTGTCTACGAGGTTTCCCCTCAAAGACTCAAGACGGACGTTTTCACGGGGACATTTTTCGCGAGCATATGGCCCGCTAATTTTTAAGTTCTGGCTGCGCGTGCACGTTGATTCGGACGTGTGTGTTTGATCCTCGATCCAGGTAAACGGCCTGTCGGTTGGCCCGAGTGTGCGTGAGCGTTGCGCGTTCCCGCTTCACGTTGATGTGCGTGGTGAACTCCGCGCTGCTGGCTACTCCGTCAGGCGAGTCCGTCGTTCTTCTTTTCCAAGCGTGAGGAAAGATGGCCGCCCGTGCGAGCTGCACGGTTCGCGCGTCTCTCTTTCTCTCTCTTTCTTTGTGCAGTTAGACGAGACGCGGACGCTGACTGGCAAGACGGTTTTAGAGAAAGTCGGAGAGCGAGGGAAGGGTGCACCGGGGTGTATAATGAAGGGCACATGTCCGCCGCCGGCTGGTAATTTTTAGAATAGTAAAATGCGTTATAAACGCTCGTCGACGATTTTTAGAGGCTAGCGGGTAGCGAGTCGCGTTAACTGAAGGTCTTCACTGAAGAACGATGATTATAGATTTTATACAGTCGGAGAGGCTAACAATAAGAAATGAACGCTGCGTGATACGTTCGCGTTTCATATCTTAATTAAATCGAAAGATTAATGCATTCTGAATAACGTTAACGACAGTTTGATTAAATTTATCTTCTCTAATCGCAGAATAAACTTTCGGATATTTTAGATAATAATTTTACGGAAAAATTTTACGAGATCAATCATCAAGTTGATTCAAACGATCGGACTGCACCGAGTTCCAATTTTAGATTTGAAATCGACGTTCTTCTCGTTTAACGAGAAAGAAGTTTTGCCGTAATATTGAGCGATCGATTACGATGCGCGGTGGCGAAGTTGAGTCGCTTTCGCATGGGATACGGTTTTGCCGCGGCGGCCACGGAACTCTTTCCCTCCAAAGTTCCGTAGCTTTCTCTCCAACGAGGTTTTCTACACCGGATATAGATCTGGCGTTCGGCGTCGATACGCGCGCCGGCGTCGCACTTAATTAATTTATTTTTTCTCCATTTCCGCGCGTTTGTCACGGCCGCGGGAATGTCCTCTACCGCGTATCTCTACCCCGCTTTTATAGGTAGATGTGTATTATATAGGACTCCGATATCGATCCCCGCGTTCCAGTACAAAACGGCCGACGCGACGCGACGCGACGCGACGACCGGAGAGACCGAGACGCAAAGAGAGTGGGAAGCGACGAGCTAGAAAGGGACGATACCGGAGGGGAAAGCATGGCAACAGACGAAGGGATTGGGGCACGGAGGGAGAGAGGGGTGCGCAGATAAAGAGAAAGCGAAAAGGGAATATATGGAACGAAGGTGGAAAAGATCCTCTTGTCGGCGCATTCGTCATACTAAAATTCTCTATTCTTTCGAGACGCGAATTACGTTCTGCCCGAACAATTGTCCACGGGATGGACCGCGGACGGATGGAGCGTAAAATAAAAAAAAAAAAGCTTATACGGAGCCGCTGCCATACCGTTGAGTTTTAATTTCGGACGTGCTGGGTTCAAAGGCAGACTCCATAATTTCGCCGATCGACATATAATACGCGTCCTGCCGCTCGTGACACGGTCAAGTCAGAAATATGAGAGGCGTGACGCGCGCGTTGGTTCAAAGACAAAGAGTCGCGGGTGCGAGTCGGCTAATGACGCGCGACAGAAATACGCGTGTCGTCGACTTGATTCCGAGTCGGAAAGTTTGCCTTCGCCGAAGCAGTTCCGCTTTAATAGCCGGCCGCCCTGCTGCGCGCTGCTACGCTACCGTCCGAATGTCATTTTTAGTTTAGCGCGTGAAGCAGGTGCACGGAGGTCGTCGGGTACCGCCCGGTTCGCAAGATCCCTCAAGTGTTCTGATAGCCGGTGACGTAACGCACCCCGCATCTCGCTTTCGGAAAGAGAGAGAGAGGGAGAGAGGGACAGAGATTACTTGTCACGGGCATCCGACTCGTTTCCTGTTAATGAGGTCTCGAATTCAGAGACGGTTATTTTTCCTCGAACTTTAATTACGCGACTCTCCTTTGCCTCGATTATTACTATTCTTATTAATTATTTCGCATACGCAATTAACATTCAGAAATAATTTCCTTTCTGAGGCATCATTTTCGGAATTTTGATAGAATCTTTCTCAAAGAATCTTATAGTATGCTAAAGAATATTCTGAGAATAAAATGTGAGAAATAAGAAGGTGCATAGGGTGAAGATGCAACTACACGTTTTCGTTATGCGAAAATTGACAATATCTTTTTCATTTCGCTCGTAATACTTTCCGATAGAACTCGGTGAATTTAATGAATTATAAATAAAATTTTTGGCGTGTGAAATTGCACACCGAAGGCGCGTTGTAAATTTAGCTCGATGATGAAGCGATTAAATACATTTTCAACCGATTGAGCACATTTCCCGTAATTTCACCTGTGCAGCGATGGGTTTAGCTTTGTTCCCTATGTTGTTCGATTCGTATGCTCGCGTTTACATCGATTGCACGCTCCCGTCCATGCGGTCCATGCGAAACTTGTGTCACTCGTGAATTTGATTTGCTCTCGATTCGCGAGCGATTCTCCCACTGGTCGCTCGCACATCGATTACTATTAATGCCGTTATAATACGGCGTGGCGGCGAACGCCGCGGCCGACGTCTATTGCACATCGCGCGCGTCGCGGACTTTTCCTTTCTTTGCGGAATTGCGGCGGGCTCGCGTGACGACGGCTTGCTGTCTGGTGTAAAACGAGCAGACGGCTCATCACCAACGGTCTATAATGTTGCGCCAAAGTCCACGACTCTATACCGCTTTCTATAGAACGGGGCCGTCCGGTGCTATTCTTCCCTCGTACTCTCATTAATCTTAATTGCATGTCGATTAAACCTGTTTTGGATTTGAAAAGGTCGTTGTCGTAAAATTAAAGACGGAAGACTTTTATTTTAATTAAAAGAATGCATTAGAAATTTTATTTTGCTCAATATTATTTTAATAAATCAATAATTGAAATGATGGTATATGTAAGGCATTGTATATTTTTTGTTTTTATAAATTGCTCGATAATATCTTATTTAATATTTTAAGTGACTAATATGAAATCAATAGATATTGTCGTTGATATTGAATTAATTTTCAATTCTTCGTATATCTTGATAAATTCCTATTTAATCACACTTTTTAATATTTTAAATCTTGAAAACAAACTGAATATTTAGATTGGACCTTGTTTCGTTAATAGCACAAACGATAAAGCGCCAGTTTATCTTTGTGTGTGAGTAACTGATACAAAATACACTTATATGCAAGCGAAACTATAAGTTTTGCACATTTTAAAGTTCTTCTTTCAAATACGCTAAAAATTGGTAATGTTAAAAATTGAAATTACTAAGATACATGGCACTTTTCCTTTAACTTCGGTTCTCTACATTTGATAAGATGAGTTTTCAATTCTAAATTCTAGAACATTGGACATGTTCCATATTTGTTTCTCAAGCAATACAACACTAAATCTAATAAAAAAATTATATCAAATACGTACATAAACTTTACGGCTATAGCTAATATATAGATCTTTCTTTTTTGAACAGTTTAAAATATTTAGCTCTCTCTAGATTGCTCTTGCAGATCTGTAAATTTGTACTACATACCTATTTCTGTTTATATTAAATATCCATAAAAACATATTAGCGTATTATCGATCAATTCTATTGGCGGGACAAGAATTTAGTTATCAATTATCTCAAATATTTAAAATTTGCAAACTTAGTCGACGACACAGAGAAGCTCATTCGGCGGTACGCGTCCTGCTAGAATTTGAGTAGCACTGTCTTACGTTATAGAATATTTCTCGATATACTTTGACAGAGACATGCAGCCGCGTATAAATTTATGCATTGCGCGGAACCTGTACACATTCGTGTTTTATTCTGCCGTATCCGTATGCAACACTTATTCGTCCACCATCTCCCCATCCGACATGAATATATGTATTACCGTGTGCCTCTAAGTTCATTTATGCCAGCCATGTGAGAAGTAAAGAATTTCTATAAATGTGCAACTCATGCTGGTATATACGTTATACAAGGGGGATCTCGGTACCCGTGCAAAAGTCGATCTTTTTGAGAGTTCTAAGCACTCGAGAGAATCACCGAAGTTATTAATTAAATTTAACCTAATTTCGTCAAACTTTTAATTACACAGTGATATAATTTACAATGATTACAATTTTACATTTTGTTTCGAAATAAAAATGTATGTTTTATATTTTTTCAGTAAACTTTGCATCGATTGTCTTCTTCTAAATTATTCTTAATTCTTTACTTTTCTTTGTAAAAAGAGTTAATAAATGCGTATTTTGTGCCGTTACAAAGACACGAAGTGAATCGGCAAGAAATTCGATCTACTTCCCGTTTTCAATGTAACTGTAATTGCATACTGCGCGATGCGCGTTTCTTGCGTTCGTGTTGCTTTTAATTTCTACCTGCGATTGATATACCTCGCCATTGCGAAAGGAAAGGCACGATAAACAGACCGCGTACGTTTCCGCAATGTCACGACTGGCCGTATTGATGCATTCAATCTATTCAACGCTAAGTGGACATATGAAAAACTACGTCGATGATAATTGAGCGATATCGGTGACGTGTGTATCGCCATAATTGATCCGCTATTAATGGCCACAGTGGTCATAATGGTCTCCGCTGATAGGACTTTAACGTTAAAAGGCAACTCCGTTGCGATTAAGCTGATTTGAATATCGTCTTTGAAATATGCAACACATGCGAGAAATTTCAGCGAAATGTCGACATATCAGAAAAATAATATGACGTATGATATTTATCGACCTTGTAAATTGTTTTTATTTTGCGCAATTTCCATTTTATAAATTTTTACGTGATTTGTTTAAACATTTTTATTTCACTCTCAAATTTTCCAAATATTTCCCCTTACGTCACGTTTCGATTGTCGAAGAATCTTGCGCAGTTTAAGATGCGGGAGTATCATTCTACAGGGTGATCTATACATCTGTTTCAGTTCACAATGCGCTAGGGGTGATGGAGACAGTGGGCAAGCAAGTTCAGGTAGTGAGTGGGTTGGGGGTGGGGGGTCCGGTGGGCCCTGTGGGCCCAGTGGGGGGGAGATCTGCATCACCATCATCATCCACATCCGCACGCCCATCCTCCGCACCCGCACTCCCACCCCCATGGTCACCCCCATGGATCCCACGGCCACTCGCTCGCGACGTCGAACCCCGGCAGAGGTCAGCCTCAACCACCAACTTCGCATAACCAGCACGTATCTGCGAGGTCCACTCCCGTACAGCTGCATAGGTAAGTTTCACTTTTCTTCTCTTATGTACATAAACCGGAGCCGTCGGAGCCGTCGGTGTCGTTGATCTCGACGGCTTTCAAGTTTCAACCTGTGTGTAGGTGTGTAGGTAAAATATTTCACTAATGCGGCAGATATAGTAAAAGATTACCTGACAAATATTTTCAAAACCATTAAAGAAGTAGACCGAAGGATCTTGCGTGTTTCTATTCTTTCGGTAACATGTGGTTATTAAAGAGTCCTCTATTTATGTTGTTCACTTCTCTCTTCTGTTTTCATAAATTTTTTTAAAAGGGGATTTCTCAGAAATATATCAAGAACGTTGTAGTACTGTGTCATTTCTGTCCAATTTCTGAAAGCGGAGTGCTAACTCTCGTTCAGACACGGATCTCGGATCTCGAATCTCGACGCGTCATACGCGGCGAACAGAAAACACGAATTGAACGCCGATACGACCGGGCAGCGCGGTACGTGTATTTTAAGAAGGAAAGTCCACGTGCAATCACAAAATCCGACATCACGAGCGATGGCTAGGAACGTGCGTGTAGAATGAAGGAGGAGGAAAGTGGAGGAAGAGCGCGTGATGGAGGAGTCTGTATCAGGCAGGCAGGTATAGCAGTCAGGTAGCAGTCGCAGGTATATCCGTGCGAGATGGTCCGGCTGGGTAGGGTTCTGGTCTTTGAGAACACAGAATTCAAAAGTGCACGCTTTTCAAAGGGCCAACTTGGAACCAAGACAGACCCGAGCATGCGGGTATTATACCTGTTGTGAAAACTAGCCTCGTATTTCCGCGCGGAATGTCCGATCGTGCGGGGTTTTATGTTATAGGGTCGACGAGATTTAGTCTTAGATTTATCGTGAGGTCATTTGCATCCTGATACAGAATGCATCCGCGTTTTTTCGAGCAACGTTGCCGTCGTAGAGACGCGATGTGAGACTAAAGACGTTCCACCTTCTTCTCTCTGGTTGCGGAAGTATATAAACTCTATTAAGATAAGTAGCGACAGACATAAAAGTCACACGTTACGTAGTGGTCGCGCTAGTTATCTCGACACCAGACATTATCGCGGTTTCAATTGCGCCTTTCATACTCTGAAATTATCAGCTTTATTATTATCTGGATTATCTAGAAAAATCAACGATTATACAAACACTTGAGATGCGCCGGAAAATATCTAAAGATTAATTCATGAAAAATATTCTTTATTCGACGGAACAATATTACTGCAGAACCAAAGATAATATTCGCGTGCGTGTATTAATTATGATCGTAAATCAAGGATCGAAATAAAAATCTTCGTGAAATAATAATATAGATTTGTTGAGCTATAATTAAACTTAGACATGGTATGATTTGTGACGCTTTGTGTCGCACCTTACGTTAAACAAACCCTAACATTAAATCACAAAATTATATGTATAATGATAAAAACGCACATTTCAGCAAATGCATTTTATTTTAATGAAATTGTTCGATTGCGCCAATTATCCCAAAATGCATCTTAATAATTTCGATTGCGTGTCTTATACAGAACTCTAATACGTGAAAGATTTCAAAAGATTTTTGTAAATGCAACTACGTGAAGCAATAACGATTGCTTTAATGTTTCGGAATTGGCTAATTTTAGAACGATGTGGAATTACTCGATAGCGTGCTTAATTTTAAATTACCCTACTTTCTACGGGAAATGCTTTCAGAATTGAGACATTTTATTTGATTGTAAAAAACGAACGCGCACATAAAATCATGAATCTTGTCGGAAAATTTGTTTTTGAGTTCAGAAATTTATTTTGCGGGACTATTGGACTCGTAATATTACTTCGTGATCAGGGAATATTATAGCGATATAGAAGGTTCTACTTATATAAGCTTGAGCTTTAACTTAAGCTGCTTATTATATAAGCTTACAATTTAGTCGAAGCTTCTATTTCGAGGGTCTCTATAAATTTATTATTATCAACGATTTACAATTGAAATAAAAATCGGAAAATGCCTCTTAGCGATCGAATTGACGTGAAATATCATATATATTTTTATTTATCCAACACCAAGATTTTTTTAACAAAGCTAACGATTTAAAATCCTGTGAAAACGACACTTTTTAACAATGCAACGCCTAGGACCCTGGATGATATCAGAAATGCGCGATACTTTTGTCCTCGTTGCTCGTTACGCCTGTGGGATGTTTATGAATAAAGATATGAGATCATTATGACCTTTCTACACAGTGTCTTGCACTGTACAAAGACGCACGATGGCAAACGGATGCTTTGAGAACAAGAGAACGTTGCGACGTGATGCGACTATAATCTTTTTTTTTGTCCTCCGGGTACATAGCACACGCTTCTACGTATACGTATACGTGTCCCGGTATCACTGTGTATATTGGCATTTGTAGTTGACGCGGTGATGCTAGATCACGTCTCTGCATTAAAAAAAAAAGAACGTTGATTGGGGACAGCAGACGTTCGCTCACATCAGTCTGTTCGATGGTAAATGACGCATTTACATTTCGTGTAAATAAGTTTTTACGGTGCGGCGGCTGCGGAAGCGGTCTTTCGCACGGAATAATCAATATGTATTGTTTCGCCAATGTGCTTAAAAGCGACAGTGTTTATTCGATGACTCACCCAACCGTAGAGTGATAGCATGCGCGCATGACGCTCTAGATATATTATTTATATATCTAAAAATATAAATCATATAAATATTTACCCAAACACACAAATACATGTTTTTAAAAATTAATCTTGTCGGCTCAGTTATATTCAAAACGCGCGATTGTTTGTTAGAGAACGTAACGTTTACTTTCAGTCGATAGGATTGTGACTGAATTTCATCAGCGTGCACTTTTTGCTTACGCTTATCGACATATTTACCAGGGCAGCACTATATTCGTGTGTATTTTATCGTGTTTATAACTGCAGACGGGCCACTGGGAAAGGTGAGATATTTTTGCTCGAGACAACGCAATCTGCGCGGAAGTTCTAGCTGTGGTTATATAAGTGTCGCGCGGCTTACAATATACTTTATGTACGAACCGCGAGCCTCTTGGCTCCATTTGCATCGTATTTTAAGCCTATTACATAGCGAAGAATGCACGATGTCGAGGAAATCACGAGTGTACAATACGAAATCGCGAAGTTCGAAGGGACGAAGGCTGCAAAATTAGATATAGATTATATTAAATATACGGTTTGTATAGCAAGCAGCCACACGTCCAATTTCGTGAAGGACAGGTACTCTCGCTTTTATCGCAACGCGTGCGCAAATACAATATTATCGACTTTAACAAGACTGTTGAAACTGAGTTTGTAAGCCAAACCAGAAATTAAAGGGCTCGTATAACTTGCTTGCACTTGTTAATTAGAAATAATTGCCGCGGTAAAGCTTCTTATTTGTCGAAAAAATATTTATTGTGTAAAGGAGGGTAAACAGAGAATTTTCTGATCGCGCGTATTCTATTTTGCGACTCTTTAAACTTCTTTTTTCGTTCGAAATCAAGCTTATGATATGTAAGATAAAAAAAAATTCATTTAATATCTCATGTCTGAATCACTCATATCAATTAGGGATAATGATTAGATAAAAAATTCTGAGCAATACCTCTCGAGAAAATATTCGTTACGTAAAGATGCATTACATGATTAGCGCATCTTTCTCAGTACACAGGATGTTCGGTCATCGTTGTGTCGATTGTCGATAGATTTATCGATTGGGATTGAAATTTTCCTTAAAACAATTGTGTATTTTCAATGGAACAACATTTGCATTGAATAATTTTGCAGATTCTTACTCTTGATAACACGCTTCTCTAATTTAAAAAGAAGAGATTATGTAGACATTTAGATAACACACATGCACACACGCAAAATGGTACAACGATATATTCTGTGTCAGTTGACAAAAATCTTAACACCCAAATATCCTCACGGTACCTACGAGTTAAATTTATTTATCTAGTCTACGTACTCGAGGTGTCATTGTGAACTTGATGCAGCTGCCTCAAAAGTACAAAGTCTTCGAAACTACGCTCCATCACATCTGTTAGTCATCACGCAGATGTACGCGTACGCGTGCTCCGCCCACGTTTACCTGCCTATACTCCTCCACAATCGGCCTCTTAAAATCTACAACGTGTGTAAAAGAAGCACGAAGTTTCGAATCGAATTCATTTTTCTACAATATTTTTCTGAATCTCGGAAAATCGAAAAAAACGTTACTGATCGCAGCGAACGTCTTACGATCTATCACATATCGCGCGCACACAAATGAGCGCGATTTAACGTTTACGAATATCCGATTTTGAAGGTTTGTTTTCATAATACTAATCAAATTTCTTAAGTATCGTTCTCTGTGAAACACGAGCGATTTTCTTGACACGGTCGCTTCGCCGGACGGTTTTTCTTTTACCGTCTTTGATTCGACTACATATTTAAGAGAGGCATGACTCACACGGCGCGGGCGGCCTGCGAGATACGACCTCGAAATTCGCCAGACTCGAACAGAGAGAGGCGATCGTGATGTGCAATCAGCGGCGGATTAATAAAAGATTGATCCTCGAAGCTGACCTTCCAACGTTTAGTAGGAAGATTTTAGTGAGTAGGTTTAGACGAATAGTTATTCATTTTTATTTTGATTTTGTAAACAAGTAAATTGGTCTTTTATGAGCATATAGATATTTATTAAAGCAAACCACGTTGAATTGTAAACGTAGAAAAATTTGGAAGAAATTTCCTTATTTTTTGCGATGCATTACGAAAGAAAAAACGGAGATGAAAATACTAAGGATCGCTCTTTTCTTTTACAACAGCGTAATTACATCTGGTCAACAGTCCCTAGACGGTGACTCAACATTTTCTTTTCTCTTACGAAATGTGTGAGGACAGAATATCCCTTTTAACCTTTAACAACGCCGGACCTGTCCTTGTAAATTTTCAAGATCACGTGCCTGTCCGTCTCCTTTTGTCTTCAGCGAAAGAGAGACAGCATTAG